TGATGGTCAACGACAAGGCTGTTTGGCGGGGATAATCTCGCCGGAAGACTTTTGTTAGTCGGGTCTGCTGGCGTTTCGCGAACAGAATCGCTGGGGTTGGACCACTACTGCTACGCGACTGAGGGGACGCCGTCGAGGATGTGAGGAGCTCGCCGGAATCAATGGCACGAACGGTTCACACATATAAATTTTAAAAGCTGCTAAAATATTGAAGGAACAGGGAGATGTGGATATCTTCAACGGTTCTGAGGAGAAGAGGGAGAACGGGTATTATGTAGAGGAAAGCGAGAGACTTGCGAACGTGCGGGGCAACTCACCCAAAAGAATCACGAACAGATTTGAAGGACGAAGAACAAGTCGTCAACGATGAATTCATTTCTGCTAAAAAAATTTCACGCGAATATGTGAATGGAAAAGGGCTACATACTTAATTTCCAATTGGGCCTAGTTTAATTGGACTGAAAGAATAAACCATAATCGGGGCTGGATTATTAAAGGGGAACTGGGCTGGAAATAACTTAAAGTCCAATAAGAAAACGCGACAACACGAATTAAAATAAAACCGGACACTATATATATATATATATACATATTAATATTAATAATAATAATTATGCAAAATAAATAATCTCAATTATTCATAAACAAATGGGGCATTACAGTCTACCCACCTTACAAAGAATTTCGTCCTCGGAATTCGAGCATAAACATCTAGAAAGCAATAAAGATACAAATGGGAACTCAGAACATAAAGTTCGGATAACGCCTCCTAATATCGTCCTCCTTATCCCAAGTCGCCTCGGACTCATCGTGTCGGCTCCATCGCACCTTCACCAAACTCACTGCCCGGTTCCTCAACTGATGGACCTTCCGGTCCAAAATGGCTGTCGGTACCTCCTCATAGGTAAGGTCTCGCTCAACCTGCAGCTCGCCGAAGTCCACCACATGATCAGAATTATGCACATATCTCTGAAGCATCGAGACATGAAACACATCGTGCACTCCCGACAAGTCCGGTGGTAAAGCCAGCTGGTACGCCAAGTCCCCGACTCGAGCAAGGATCTCAAATGGCCCGATATAACGAGGTCTAAGTTTCCTTTTTTTCTCGAAGCGAATCACACCTCTAATGGGTGAAACCTTCAAGAAGACATGATCTCCAACTGAATACACATGCTCTTGCCTCTTCCGGTCAGTATAGACTTTCTGCCTCTCCTGGGTAGCCCTGATGGTCTTCCGGATCACCTCGACTGTCGCCGCAGTACACTGGACAAACTCCGGACTCGTAATCCTCCTCTCTCCAACCTCATCCCAACACAAAGGGGTCCAGACCTTACGTCCGTACAAAGCCTTGTACGGGGCCATCTTGATCGAAGAGTGGTAGTTGTTTTCGTAGGTCAGCTCGACTAACGGAAGGGAATACTCCCAAGTTAGGCTCCAGTCCAAAACCACAGCCCTCAATATTCTCCAAGTACTGGATCGTACGCTCCGACTGACCATCAGTCTAGGGGTGAAAGGCTGTACTGAACTCCAACCTCGTCCCCATGGCTCGGTGCAATGTCTTCCAGAACTGGCCCGTGAACTTTGGATCCCGATCGGACACAATCTCCATGGGCACCCCATGAAGCCTAACAATATCCTTGACAAACAATTCTGCGTAATCACTCGCCTTCATGGTCGTCCGGACTAGCAGAAAGTGGGTAGACTTCGTGAGTCGGTCCACGATCACCTAAATAGAATCATGCCCAGACCTCGATCTAGGCAAACCCCCCAGGAAGTTTATGGTGATGCACTCCCACTTCCACATGAGAAACTCGAGGGGTTTCAACAACCCTCTCGGTTTCTGGTGCTCAGCCTTCACTTGCTGACACACCAGACACCCATCCACGAACCTCGCTACCTGCCTCTTCATGCCTCACCACCAGAAAGACTTCCTCAGGTCCTGATATATCTTCGTGCTACCAGGATGAACGGTGTACGGGGCACTATGGGCCTCTCTTAGAATCTCCTTTCGCAGCTCCCAAACCTACAGAACACAAATTCTACCCTTGAAGAGTAAAGCTCCATCAGTTGCAACTGCGAATCCACCAATCTTACCACTAAACGCCAAATCCTTCATCCGGCACAGAAAACGGTCATTCGGCTGCTCAGCAACTATCCGCTCTCAAAGAGTCGGTCCCACAACCAAGGCAGTCAACATACCCTCTGCTGCCGAAGTCGACTCCACTGCCTCTAGCTGTAGCCGCTCGAACTCCCAAAGCAGAACATCTTGCCCAGTGAATAGGCAAGACAGTTGACCATAACTCCTCCGACTAAGGGCATCGACCACCACATTAGCTTTCCTGGGATGGTAGCTAATGGTGCAGTCATAATCCTTAACCAGCTCCAACCACTACGCTGCCGCACATTCAACTCCTTCTGAGTGAAAATGTACTTTAGGCTCTTGTGGCCGGTAAATATCTCAATCTTGCCTCCATAGAGGTAGTGCTGCCAAATATTCAAGGCGTGGACGACAGCAGCTAACTCAAGATCATGAGTGGGGTAGTTCTGCTCGTGAGGCTTCAGCTGCCTCGAAGCATAGGCTACGATTCTCCCTTGCTTCATGAGAACACAACCCAAGCCCATCTTCGAAGCATCACTATAGATTGTGAACTCCAAAGTAGGGTCGGGTATGGATAGGACGGGTGCGGTAGTGAGTCTTCTCTTCAACTCCTGGACACTCTCCTCACACTTTTGACTCCAATCAAACCTCACGACCTTCTTTGTAAGGTTGGTGAGTGGTTAGGCTATCTTCGAGAAGCCCTCGATAAACCTCCTGTAGTATCTTGCAAACCCCAGGAAACTACGAACGTCAGCGGCACTTCTTGGCATATCCCACTTGCTCACCGCCTCGATCTTGTTGGGATCCACCTCAATGCCTCGAGCTGTCACAATGTGGCTAAGGAACGCCACACGGTCTAGCCAGAATTCGCACTTCGAGAACTTAGCATACAACTTCTCGCGGCGAAGAGTCTCCAGCACAATCCTCAGATGCTCCTTGTGTTAGAGTAGGATACCCGGCGTTCCAATCGGATTGGACGTATTCTACTTGTAAATACTATCTATTGGAATTATATTGTAAATAAGGCATTACTTTATCTTAAGAGTAAGTTTTTATCCTATAATCGCACTTAAGATAAAATCCCTAAATCACTTATGGTTATAAGGTGTGGTTGCGCTTAGAGATGGTGATCATGGAACATACCTTGAAAGCTGTGATTTTAAATAAATTTCCAAGTCGAAGGATGTTTCGAAATGGGATATTGAATAATCCATAAAAGACTTGCACATAGTATGTATGCTTGTTGGACAAGAATGTTGCATTCCATCAACATTAGCGTGCGACGCAAATACATATATGTGGGTGCTTGTTAGAGAACAAGTACACTGAACATGACCGTATGAAAATACTTAATGAAAGATTTGTCTTGTCGAATAAGTATTTTCATAGTACATGACTAATCCTAAGACTTGAGGCACAATGGTAACTTTGTGCATATTA